GCCCAGGTTTCAGATTCCCATCCCCGGTGTGTTCCGAACTATCTGCTTATCGCGAAAAACCCCTATGGGGACACGTCTCCTCGGCCGGCGCCTCCTGGGTAGGTAGGTATCAATTCATCGGCTTTCTCTCGTGCTGGCGTTCGTTTTTCGGCGAGGGGCTCTAGCTTTATCAGGATTCCAGGGGCCTATACGTTACTAAGCTGTAAAAAGGCCAAACCGGGCGAGTACCTACGTCCTACACAGAAGCGTCTCGTCGCTTTTTTTGTCGCCTCCGGCCTCGCCTGTTTCGCTTCGCTTATGCCTTATACGCAACCGAAGTGTGACGTCATGACTACTGGCTGGGGCATAATCAGCTGACGGCCCTGTGTTAAAGCAATGGGACGAAATTTTATCAGCATTTTTAGAACAAACTGGACCTAGTTAGATAGTTTGGGGGCCAGTTTCTAGGTAAACTGAGTATATTCTATTTTTCTACGCCCAAAAAATGCTATGTTTCAAAGCGGGAAGGACCGAATTTCGCGAAATTGTTACGGGCGGCGAACTTGACGCACCAAATACATGACCTTGAGATGCGAAGTGTGACCGCGTCGGGAGAATTTTGATGCGTAAGGTTTGACATATTTGAGTTTGAGCTGGATAAGTATTTTTTGTTTGTAAAAAGCAAAGGAAAAAATTCACCATATAAGTTCTTTTGAAAATCTTTTTTATTTTAAATCCATTATTTTAAACCTCTTGATCTAAAATGTTTTGTATTTCTGCGTCAACTTCGCCGCCAATTAGGTTTTCACGAAATTGTGTGCTTTGCGTTGTTAGATTTTGCAATATTTTTTCATAGAAAAATAGATCATACATCGTTGTCCTAAATTCAGCTACTAAAACTATCTAACTAGGTCCAGTTTTCTTGGGAAAGATCGGCAAAATATTGCCCCATTGCTTTAGCACGGGGCCGTCAGCTGATTATGCCCCAGCCACTTATTATCGTGACGTCACGACTTCGGTTGCGTATTGGTTCTTGAGTTATCGGCTGGGCTGGGAGCGTTTAACGCCCCCCCCCCCCCCCCCCCAGCAAGTGGTGGGTGGCGAAATGCCCCAGCAATTGCCGTTGAAACTCTCGATAAGTGATGAAACTTGGATTGGATTCCTTGGATTGGAATTGGATTGGAAGCCTTGAATTCCGTGGATTGCCTTAGTTGGCTTCTAACGAATTGAGAGTAAAATCAGAATTGAAGTTTCCCTTTATATGGCAGGAAAAACTTGTGCATTCTTTTGTGACGCAGCTGATGCAAAAGTGGCATAACATAAAGCGCGAAAGTGTGGCTCTCTCTATCGTCTGGATAAAAATAGGCCCCGCCCATCCCAATCAGCTGCTGCATGACGAGTTGATGACGACAACCACTACTTACCAGCAACCAATCTAGGGATAGCGTACGTGACAGTAATGGTGCAGCGGTTGCAAAATATTGCATTGTTATTCAAACGGTTTTTGCTTTTTGATTGTGATTGTATTGAGATATGTGATTAGATGAGGTGTTGTTGAAGGCAGGTATTTTTTTAAATATTTTTTGACAATTTTTTGCCCCCTTGTGCTGAACCCGGGACCACCTGAAGTCTAAACCTCATTTTATATAACATGTCAATGCTGATGCTGTCCAGCTCAGAGTTTTTTTTTTGGGGGGGGGGGGGCAAACCAAAACAATTTATCGATTCTTTCCATGCATCGTCCATAGGCGTAATGTTAAAATTATGCCGTTTGGGGGGGCAAATGCCTATTTTGCCCCCCCCTGGATCCGCCACTGACTGCTCCGATCCTGGTCATGCAACCAACGTTCATGGGTGGTGTTTCACGGCAGAGCACTGCAGTGCGCTGCGTGTGTCAGAGCATTGGGTTGCCATGGCAGTGTCAACAAAGTTCACTGTGACGCTAAGCTATATGACAGCATCCCAGAACGCTAGCACGCTGCGGTACCAGCACCAGCAGCATGCTAGCAGTATTTGAACTCAAACCTCTGTTCTTGGTACGTTTTTTCAGAACATCTCACTCTGTTCCAAACGCGATTCATCATAAACTAAGAGATCACATGCAACGTCATTTGAGTGATGCTATGGTATGCCGTAGCTACCAGTGCACACAGTGTCTGGATGGTGAAACAGGGCCATTATTAATCACATTTGCTTTGCTTTGTTTCAGCAGAAACCTGTCTGCACATGGGAGGAGCGCAACAAAAGCCCATCAAGTTCATGCATGGCAGTGGATCTCAACAGCAGAAAACCAGAAAGAACATGGATGCTTGTAGATTGCAGTTGTACACTGCTGTTATCACGTGATGTGTGTGGCTGGCATTGCTCCTGGCAAGAACCACCTGCAAGTGATGAGATGGTGCCTCAGTCGTTGAGTGTGCTGCAGTGTGAGAGGCGCCCTGATCTCTACTTTGTGATGGGTTTCCATTGGAAGTTCAACTGAGAAGTGAGAAGTGACTGTGACCATGCTCGAGCATGCCAGTGGAGCTTTACATGCTTAGGGCAGCTTTTGAACAGATGCTGACCATGGCATGTCCCATCCAGTTATCACGTGCATAGAATGGTGGGGGGAGGGCAACTCTGGTTGAGTCAGCCCTACTGCGCTGGGGGTACAGATGGCCGCTTACGTTTGGTGTGTCCTGCACTGCATTATCAAGCCCAGTCTGCTGCCACAGGCAATGGATCGGGCTGCACTATATTAAAGGCAGACTATCTTGCAAAGGAGGCTGGCATCCTCTCCCATAATGACACACCAATTGGCAATCATCGCTGCGATGATCACGAGGGTGTCCGCTTATCTAACATGGTGAGGTGGAGAGCCAGCTCAAGCTGGCCTGAGGGATGGTTTTACTTCATCTGAGGCCCCCTTTCTCCGCCTGCCAGGTCCGGTCAAACGACCGCTTCACAGTGAACGACTTGCAGTGGATGCCGTCCCACAGCGCAACGAGCGCGCCGACCAGAGGCGGCGGCCAAGAGGCGGCCGCGCTCCCCCAGTCGACGGTCCCGGTGGACGTCGGCAACGCCCACCGCGCGACCATCAGATCGGCTCGCGACCGCGCCGTCGCCGACTGACCGCATGACTGGTATCTGTTCTTGATGTGGGACCGACTGCCACCGCCGGTCGCGGAAGGGCATCGCTCATCGGCCATCGACGTTCACCAGCTTCGCGTGGGTCACTGTTCGGGCTGCCACCAATACACCGAATCGGATGGAACCCTGTCGGCGAATGCCGGCGGTGCCCCGACATCGACTGCGCGGCGGCCAGTGCATCGCGTGCCGGGAGGAGGCTGGCACCCCCGATCGGTCATTGGTCACAAACCGTGTCCCAGCTCATGACTGCATCCAGCGCAGCTCTGTGCGATGTTCTGCTGCAGTCTGCCGCGTGTGTTGAAAGAAGAATGAACACGAGAAAACCTCAAAACTTTATGCCTATTAGTATTTGACCAGTATTGGAATAAGTTTGGATTTTGAGAATTTGTGTCCCTGTGCTTGTGCCTGTGTGGAAAGGCATGCTTTACGGTGTACCATCTCAATTTGTGCGGCTGCTGACAAGCCACCTGGGTGCCAACGTATGTGCGAATCCGCGAATACGTTGTGTTTCGTCAGTCGGTATCGTTCTGAAAATATTGACTGCAATAGGCTATATAGCGTATGACGGTTCAGCCCAGCAGTAATAACTGACCATTGATTGGGCGAATTTTGTGTGGTGGTTCGCTAATACATAACCTAAAGAGTGTTTTGCCGGAGTTGTTTAGTAGCAGAACTGACCGGAATATAAGTAGAATGCAACGGTTTGAATCGTTAATTTGTTGAAACGATTGTTCTCTGAGACCACTGTGTAACTTTTGACCTGAGAATCACCAATTATAACGACAATGGTGGAAGCAGTAGGCACTGTAGAGTGTAGGCAGCACTATATAGTTGGCACACTTACGCAAGCACACGACTTACGCAGTGGACATCTGCATCATGCATGTTAAGGTTTACTGGGAAGAGTGAGAAATTAGTCAAGGCGATATTTCCAATTGAGCTGGGGCGGAGAGGGGGAGGGGACGTATGGTCAGCTATGCCAATAATTCATTCTCGTTATGCAGCTGTGTAAAAGGGCGTCGTTTTTTTCTTGGGTGAGACCTTCCCCATTGGCCATTTCCAAGCTAAATCGTGGTGGAGAGTCTGGAGACCTCAGCCTCGGTAGTCGGTACCCTGCGCGCTGCGCCACCTTGCGAAACATAAAGCAGCAGTCCTGACATCTACAGGCGTTACTTTTCATGAAAGCGTGGATGTGTTCGCGCTTATGCGAAGAAAATTCTTCCGAGTATGGTTGATAATGAGATTAATTGTTGTCATTTATTTATTAATTCATTGGCAAAAGTACCCTAATAAATCGGTAAAGTAGCTTAAACTGTATCGTATTTCCTTGAGAAAAAATGACGAACTCATCCTAAGACATCCAGATTATTGGATGCGTTCGTCAGTTGTAAGTAGTTCAAGTTTTTGGAAAAAGTTGCTTGTGGAAAATCATAATATTTCAAAGATATGCCTATTTTCGAATAGTTTATGCATTTATCTGCATTGAAAAATGATTGTAAAGCAAAAGTGCAAACGATTGTTGTCAATTTATTCTCTCAAATCACTATTTACGAACGCACAAAACTCCAGCTTTTAATTTAGTGCGTGTGCGAATTGCGGTCAGGAAAAAAGATTTAAACTGTCTATATTCCTCTTAAAACAATGGAGGATGAATGAGAAAAACGCTGTTTTGAACAATTGTATGTTTATTTTTTCTCAATTAAGCAAAAAACCAAAATTTTCAACTATTATTACATTTGCTCTCACAAAACCCATCACTTTTAAGCATGACGTCATGTCAGCCAAACTTACTAGCGCCATCTCTGGAGAGCATCTTTCGAAACCTCCAGACGATAGAGAGAGCCGAAAGTGTGAAAACCTATATATGGCCTTGGTGAAAACATTCCGGGGAGCATTCCGGTCTAGGGGTAAGATACTTGCCTCTAGATTCGGCCATCCGGGTTCGATTCCCGGGCAATGCACGTGGCATTGCCGCTACCTGACCGCTTGGAACAGCGTGAGAGTTCCGGTTAGCACCTTGGTCCACTGGATGTGGTGCTTAACCCTTGGCTTAACCCAAAACCAACCAACCAAGTGTGAAAACCTTACAGAGTTCAGTGGTGAAAACCTTAGAATAATTTTGGCCTCAGCGTATGAGGCATTTTTTCTCCTTAATTTAAATGCAGTATTGATGCTTGTCAAAAGATTTATAATCTAACTGACATGCAACCATCTTGGTTCCGCTCATGCTGATACGCGGAAAAGAGCGAGGCGGGAGTTCAAGTTGTGGCATTCACGATTTTGGTTTATATTTTGGGATCAAGTAGTCGTTAAAGGGACCCTCCCACCTTCAAAAAGTTAATGAATTGGCATGAAAGTAATGTCGCTCGGTTCAGAAAGGGCGAAAACGAATATCTACCAAATTTCATCGAAAAATATTCACCGGTTTTCAAGTTTTCAAGACTTTTACTCTTGTTTACTTTTTGGGATCTCCGCTGTTCCTAGCGACTTTTTATAAAGTGCGGCACTTGTGCTCAAAGAGGCATATACCACCGCTGACCGCGTGCTACAGAAATGTTCTAGTAAAAGATTTAAAATAATTAAAATTGTTAGAAACTTAGATCTGCGCAGACGTCGCAACTTCTAAGGGGGCATTCCAATGCATTAGCCCTTAAGAATCCGAAAACTGCAAGTTTGAAATTCCATAACTCCGGATTAAAACATTTGTTGATGTTGTGAGTGCCCAAACTGGTATTTTCAGGCCATGGCCACCAATTTGGCTATCTCAACTCAAAACTAATGTTAAGGTGGGATGGTCACTTTAAGTTGAGGTATCTGCATGGATGTTTTCAAATAATTGGTTTATCTCATGGTGAAGGGGTGTAACAACTAACAGGTAACATAATACCCACTACACATTCTGATTTCTGACTCAGTTAATAGATAGATCAGGTAAAGCTGAAGCCCTAGGCTGTGCTCAATAATCTTTAAAACCCTTAGTGGCCTTAGTAAATCAATTGACATCACCTTGAAGAGGTATTTTAAGCTTACATTGTAAGGTATAATATTTGTTTTAAATATTCTAACACATCTTTGCACAGTGCATTGCATAACTTCAAGGCAGCCTCCTTACTCCTGTGATAAAATAAACCACTTGCAGGAATAAAGATATGTCATCTGCTGTTCCTTTGGCTTCACAGTTGACATGTTCTTTATCCTGCTCCTGGTTTGATACAGCATCTTTTATTTCATCTAGGGGTCTTAATCTAGGTCTAACCAGGGTCTTTGTAAAAAGTAATTATTTTTTTAATAAAACTGTGCTCTAGGTCTTGTATTACCTACCTACCTAACCTGGATGTATGATAACTGATGATTTCTTGTAACATTCAGAGTCCAGATAACACCTATGACACAATTTTGATAAGCGTTTGTCCATTTCAGACAACTACTGAATATTGATTCAGTCTGGACCAATCTGAAAAATAACAAAATATTGCTGGGTGAAGACACAACTGCATCAAGAAACTTTTCAACAATGGCATGCAATAGCTATTTGGCTCCTTCTCCAGAACAGTCTTTAGAAGCTGAGGCGGAAGAAGTTACAGAGCCACAAGATGGTGAACTTAGAGAGGCCTCAAGAAATGAGACCACCACTGAGATGCATTCAAAACCAAGAGGACAACTGGCCACTATGAAACTCAATGACACTAAGGCAGGAATGGAAGGACTTGATACTGACAAGATAAATCAGGTAGGTACCTAATGCCTGTCTATATTTTATGGTGGGTAATAACTAATATGCCTTGTGTGTACTGTATGTCAACCTATTTGGTTCTTTTGAACAAGCTTTTGAAGAAGTGCCTTAAATTTTTTAGCATTGCAAGAGGAAGCAAAGTCCAAAGAGCTTCTTTTTTTCGAGAGAAAAAAAAATCCCCTGGGGGCGGTATTACATTTCTTGATCTGCCTGTGAGTGATAGAGGCTGATCAATGTACTATTTGTCTCAAGATAAGGGCCCAGGCAACCTGTAGTTCAGATGCGGTGAATAACCTCACCCTCGCCAGAAATTGAGTGGGGATGGCGCTGGGTGGGAGGAGGGGTGCACTCGGCCCGAGTTGTGGCTAGGGTAAGGGTATTCAATGCATCAAAACTACAGGTCGCCGCCTGGGCCCTTATCTTGAGACCAATAGTACACATTGTTTGCAGTATGAAGACTGGCACATAGGCATGGTCTATAAAGAATTGAAAGCTTGGTCTATAAGCATGGTCAATGAATGATGTCTCTGTCTTATAGCACTGAGTGTGTAGTAGGTACTATGCAACATGCTTTGTCGTTAATTCGCTCATTCATGATCCAAATATTTCAGATTATTGAGGAGGCATCGAGAGGTTCCAAGTTCTACAACCACAAGAAGCAACGGCAGGAGAAGATCGACGAGCGGATTCGGCGAATGCTCGAGCTCAAAGATTCGTTCACTCCTGAACAGATTGCCCGAGCAGAGGCCCAGGTAAATCGGACTCACTGCGGCACTGCTCCCACATTCAGTGCGGACTGAGGAGACTGGGAAGTCGGGACAGTCAGTTGAGATGCAGCCTCTTAACCATGGGCAGTTTTTCGCTGATAACCGCCGACTATACAGTAATTGGCAACGGGTAAAAAGATCCGTATTACCGACAGTCAGCGTCGAGACGTAATTTTTTTCTTTCTAAATTCATGCCCTAAAATCTAAAATCATGCAATTCACAATGTGGTTGCATGGCTGGTCCAGTGCTGTGCAACAGGCTCTGCGAGGTAGGGACTTGACCCTTTCAACCAAGGAGCTGCCCACCCAACCATTCATATTATAGATCCTCCTTGAATAGCCTAATCACTACCATTAGCTATCCCAATTCGCTTCCCAAAGTGATCTCCTATGACTGACCTATGCCGTCGCGTGACCGGCAGATGGACGCGCTGACGGCCCACCTGGAGCAGTCACGTGACCTGAGCCGGTTCATTGTGCACGTGGACATGGACGCCTTCTACGCTGCCGTCGAAATGCGAGACCGGCCCGAGCTAAGGTAAGCTCAAAGCTGGAGCTCTGTACATGTGATGGCTGATATAGGTTCTTTTATGCTTCGTGGTTTGTTCCGTGTTGCGTGTCATTTTGTCGACGACCTCAGCTCTCTGGCCTTGTAGGAAGAGGTACATACCTAGCTGGGCCCCGTCGTTTGCACTGACACTACCGTCTTTCTGATACATGAGTCCCTGACCTCGCTACCTCTTGACACACAGTTCCCCTGACACCGCGCTACTCGCACCGTCCCCCTGGCCCCATGTCACCATTCATGCTCACTACTGTTATATCCAGGTGGAGCTCCCTAACCCTGTCCCTTTGACCTCGTCCCCTTCACCCCCCCCCCCCCCGCCGACAGGGACGTACCGATGGCTGTCGGCAGTAACAGTATGCTGAGCACCTCCAACTACGCCGCACGAAAGTTCGGTGTGCGGGCCGCCATGCCCGGCTTCATCGGCCGCAAACTGTGCCCCCAGCTGGTGATCGTGCCGTGTGACTTTGACAAGTACCGCGCCGCCAGCCAGCTGGTGCAGCAGGTGATGGCCAGGTGAGGGGGCGGTGTCAGACTGGGACTCGCGTTTGAGGAAAAGGGCAAGGGCTAGATGTTTTTTTCTTCTTTTAAGATTATGAAACTAAATGTGTGATAAATGTCAGCGACTGGGGTCTGAGATAAAACCAAATCTGCAGCAAGAGAACTGCTTGACAGTCTCCGAACTAAGATAGGACAAGCCTTTCTGTTTCTGCTTTAGTTTCTGTAAGCCTTTCGAATGAATCTGGGTTAATCTTCCCTTGCCAGTCAGCAAAGTCAGTATCGTTCGTTTTGTTTTTCACCTTTACCGCGACCGTACCATGTCTGCTCTTCATACTCGTCTGTTCAACGGCTTCCCTACCCTCTCTGACGCTCCCCTCTCGCCGATCCGACCAGGTACGACCCGGACTTTTCGATGGTGTCTCTGGACGAGGGCTACCTGGACATCACGGACCGAGTGGCCACTGAGATGGACGGAGACACTGGAGACCAGTCGGAGGACGAGGTGGCTCAGAGACTGGTCAGGGAGATGCGGGCCGAGATCTGCCGGCTGACGCGGCTCACCGCCAGCGCTGGTGAGATAGCTGACTGATGGGAGATGGAGAGGAGTGGGACCGGCCCAAGCGGGTGTTTGGGGAGTTGAAACATAGGGGGCGGGATGGCGAGTCTGAGGTGGCACTAGCTAGGTGGATCGAGAATGGGAGGCGCTGATATTGCATGGACTGGAGATCAGAGAGTCTTGGGACCAGCAGAACATTATTGAAAGCCCTGGCTATGCTCATACCAGTTTTGCCATTTGCTTGATATAGCACTCGTATAGTATGTGTATGTAATACGTTATACACTGAAACTCTCATGCAGTAATTTGTATGGTCATGCCGTTACTGTTCTTGATAATGCCTCTCAGTTCGAACTCCACGTGCAAGCGAAGTGTCAAGTCAGTTGCATATTTCGCTGTCTTGTTGCATGTCCACCGAGCATCCCATTCGAAGCACCCCTCTCTTACACGCTGTCTTTCCGGTGACGGCAGGTATTGCCGCCAACGGCATGCTGGCCAAAATCTGCTCGGACCAAAACAAACCGGACGGCCAGTTCTTCCTGCCCCGCGAGCGGCGCGCCGTGCTCGACTTTCTGCGCGAGCTGCCCGTTCGGAAGGTAAGCGGCATCGGCAACGTGTTATCTCAGCAGCTGGCGGCGCTGGAGGTGACGCGCTGCGGGGAACTCCTCGAGCGCCGCGGCCTGGTGCGACTCTTGTTCTCTGAGTGTGCCCAGCTGAGTCTGCTGCGCGCCGGACTGGGTGCCGACCCGCCCGGGGTGGGGCGGGACGAGGACTCCCACCAGAAGTCTGTCAGCACGGAGACGACATTCGCGGCTACCGCAGACCCCGCGCAGCTGTCTGAGCTGCTGGGAGAGCTGTGTCAGCAGCTGTCCGAAGACCTCCGCCGCAAGGGCCTGCGCGGGCGAACTGTCACGCTGAAACTCAAGACGAGTTCGTTTGTGGTGCGATCACGAGCCACCACACTGGCCGAACCGACCTCAGCGGCGGCTGCGCTGCTCTCCGCCACCCGGCCGGCGCTGGCCCGCGAGCTGGCGGCAGGTGAACCTCTGCGGCTGCTCGGGGTGCGTGCGTCGGCCCTGGTGGCCGCTGAGGTTGCCGCCGGCCGACGCCAGGCCACCCTGACCGAGATGACTGGCCGCGCCGCCGCGCCTCGACATGAATGTCCGGTCTGTGGACGAACTGCTGGGTCCCTGGCGGAGCTGTCTGCTCATGTGGAGCAATGTCTAGATGGGGAGGCGGGCGGTGGGGGAGAGCAGAGTGAGGGACGGCCTACGGGGACGGATGACTGTGCTGCTGAGAGCGAGAGTGGTAATGGTGGAGCTATAGAGACTTCTGGAGGTGATGCTGCGGAGTGTGGGCCGACGAAGGAGGAAACTGTGCTGTCTGTAGGCTCACCTCAACCCTCCAGCTGTGATAATGTTTCTGAAGACCCTATCAGTCACGCACCTGCGAATGGAATTAGTGATCCCGCTGCATGTGTGGGACCGTCATCTGCCAGCGACGGGGATCGACTTCAGTTGGGTAATGTAGAGGATACTACTCCGGCTTCTGCTGCAGAGACGGCCTGTGGCGGCCCCTCAGCGGCCTCGTGTCCTGTCTGTGGCCGCCCCATGCCCGAGGAACTAGAGCTCATCAACCGCCACCTGGATGAGTGTCTGAACCAGAAGTTATTGTCTCGGTTAACAGATGGCGGGCCGGTCGGCGGCCAGAAGCGGCCGCCAGCACCGCACTCTGGATTGCCTCGGACCAAACATAAGCGGATCGACTCGTTCTTTACTGCTGTCAAACGATCGTGATTATGAATGCGAGTGAATGAAGCGGGCTTGCCTGAAAGAGTCGTTTTAGGCAGATATTGAGTGATAGATGTTTCTTTGAAAAAGTTATAATAAACGAAACGTCGGGTAATTTTTGTTGTAATATCTTGCATATTTATGAAATTGAGTGATAGATTGCGAGTTGTGTAGGTATACCTATGTTTGATTCAGTTTATGCTTGTATTTGTTTAGGCGCTTGATTCATGCCTTACTCATAACGGTAATGTATTTTTCATACGCTTTAAAGTTTGTAGTCGTTGGCGTTTTGACGTGTGTCGTCAACATTGCCTTTTGCTTCGTGATATCTGGCCTAAATATTATGTTATCGTCGACATTTGACAGAGCTTGACTGTAACTTGCAAGCACCGAACTTGCGCTGTCATTGGGTAGTTTTTGCTGATAGGTTTATTCTGCTGAAACCCTTTCGTATTCAAGTGATATCTTTGAAGAATACGATACTGTGTATTGCTGCTGGACTTGTATGGCCATTTGACATGTCAATATTGTGTGGAAAATACGATGCAATGAAGGTAAATAAAGGATAGAGGATACCTGGAAGCTTGTTTGTGGCAGCTTAGCATTGCCAACTAATTGTGGTATGCTTCCATTATTATTGGCGTATGTTTCAGGGTGGCATTCGGCGGGCCTAAAACAAGTGTGAGTTGACCTACTTGTATGCTTACATGATGTATGAGTCCATGTATTGCATGCATATTCGTGTCCTTGCATTTGTAATTTTGCAGAGGTCAGTCATCCAGAAACCTTCCATCCCTGTTTCCATTGTTGAGCTTACAATATCTTGGAAGAGGCGGATATGTCACCCTTCTTATCACGTATCCTTTCTTCCTATCTTATGTAAGTATTGCCCTTGGTCAGAGACAAAAATGATAAAGTAAAGTCCATATGTGTCGTGTACACGGCGCCGAGCAGGGATCTCCAGACTCCAGCTCAACACTCATGACAGAGGCTAGCTCGCTAGTTCCTGAATCAACACTCGCCGAGATTCGTGTGCGATGTTGCAATGGGAATCTCTCACCAAGTAGGTTCTTACGAGTGCATGTCGAAATACCTACTTGCGTTTCCTGTCCCCTTTGGGTCATTTTACGTGGGACAGGCTGTGTCTCCGGTGGCACCTTATTTCACATGGAACGTGATCTTTCTGCACGTTATCTCTGACAGAATATGTGCTGTTCACTCGTCTGACCAGGATCTTGCCCGAGATCAATGTAAATATGTACATTTTCCCTAATTAGCCGTCTGCAGATGACAAGATTCTGGAGTCATGTAGTTGTCATCATGAGCGTAAAATATCTGCCTTTGAATGGATCTGTGCTGGGATTTTCTGTCCGGGTCAAATCTCGCACTTATCGGTGTGCATTTCCAGACTGATTTTATCGTTGAGCTGGTAGGAACTTTGTAATCGCCCTCGATCTCTGCACAAAATACGCCTTTTTCATTTGTTCACTGGATTTCCATGAATCAAAATTGCACCCAGCGCTTGTCTAACACGTGTATTATATGTCATTCCACGGTAGACACGCACAAAACACACAGGTAGGTACGGCACCACGCCACTGCACTGTGGCGCGCCTGTACTCTCAATAACACACGCACACATACACACAGGTGCTGTGAGCGAGTCATCCCTCCTCCTCGTGAGAGTGACTTTCTCGGCCGGTCCTGGCAGGCACCATCTCATCAACACAACGTGCTCCAAGTGCCAGCGCCACCGCCGGGCGCCACCAGCGTAACGCCAACCGCGAAATAAATACGACGATCAAGTGCAGACAAACGTAATTATGAATCACGAGGTGTGGACCGGCCAACACCTTCGCGAAACGCAAACAGAACATATAAAACTAAGTGGCAGGTAAACTGCAGGACACAACCAGTGCGCACAACTAAAAAGATATTTGATCCATGAGTATAACGACTAACAAAGCTCATAGGCAGCGTATATCCACTAGTTGCTATAAATACTAATATATAACTTAATTGTCATGATAGTCCGATTAGATAAATATGATAGCCTGCCCTCAAAAGCATGGGGTTCTGGTGAAAATGCCAACAGCCAACTGCCGACCAAAGCGAACGGGGCTCCCGCCACCGGCCGTCCCTATCACATATCAGCCTCGTGACTAGCAACGTACCTTCCCCGGTGGTTATGGATGCGCCCTGCCCACCCCGCCCCTGTCAGGTCAGGTCGGATGGCTCGAGCCAGGTCGACTAGACCGCCGACATCTACAAAACGACCTTCAGCGGCCACCCATACCTCGCGGCCCGCTGGCAGCTCCACATCTCCCGTGTCTTTGCGTCTCCCCAAAGCCCTCCGCTTCTTCCCTCTTCGTGACTTTTCCTCTTTTGTCAGCCTCTCATCGCTGGACGAATAGGGCAGGTTCCGGGAGGACCCCCGTAAATGTCAGTGACGTGCTTCGGACCTTAGTCGTCCAGATAGTCATCATCGCTGTAGTCGCTCTCGGTTGGTAGCAGCTGAAAAGATTGAAAGGACGGTTAGTTGAATGATCAGACGAGGAAATACTGATGGCTCATCGACATTTAGATCGCAGAAAAAGAGACTCGGAAATGCTCGCTGAGAGCCTAGTTTGTGGACTCGTTTGAAACGTTTGAACTGGAACACCGTGCTTCTGGAGTTGGAAACCAAAAGCGACGAGTCATGCTGTTGAGACAGAATGCTCGTTTTTACATCATTCTTTTGAATTTCCTAGATGTACGATGTACGAATGTCTGGCTGCAAGCCCCGAATTTTTAAATGGATCCTCGTGGAGAGACTGCTGAAATCTGACCCTGGACTGTTGCGTCACCCGCCCGGATCTGCTAAGCGTACCTATCGTTACCCGTCTGAGGTGCAGAACTCACCCTCTGCAGCAGGGAAGCGGCTCGCCTGTCGGAGACTGCATCCCTCCGGTTCGGTGACAGGTAGTGCTCCAGAGCCTTCAGCTTCCGCGACTCGCTGTTGAAGGAACACAAGGAAAGTTAGCTGCTGAATATTGGTAATTACTCGAGTGAAGTCGTGTCGGAACGAATGCCGTTTCTTCAGGCATGATTTACTGCCATGATGTACTGTGATTTCATATTAAACTTGTGCTGTTTGCCGATAATAGTGTGGACCGGCTCGTAGCTAATTTGCAGTTGATGTCTCACACTTGACAGGTAGATTGTTATGGACCAGCCCTCTGAATCTGATAAGGTGTGTGCGTCTGTACCAATGTATGACTGCGTGTGATGATTATTTATGTGTACTCTGTTTGTGTGACTGTGCGTGCGACCGCGTGCGTCGTCTTCATATGTCTTTATGTTTGCGTCCGTTCGTACATACCTGGCGTCAGAAAGGTACGTGGCCACCAGTCGGATAAGCTCGGCGTTCCTGGCGCGGCCCAGACCGTGCAGGTGGTTCCGGCTGCTGCGACCCGATACACCCCGGCACTGGTGGTGGTAGACCATCACCCTGTGGGTCAGACATAGAGAGAGGTCAGTCAGAGACGGGTCACAGAGGAAGGGTTATTATTATATAGGTCAGTCAGGAAAGTATCGGCACCAGAGAAGCCGCACGAATGGCGTTGAGCTTCGGTGCTCCATGGGTGTTAATGCTTGTTCTCTATTCATGTCGCTGTTTTGGATGAAAGCTAGGAATACGATCCTACCTTACTAGAAAGGTAAACTTGTTATTCATATTTAGACTATCCACTGGAATGCTTCACCGTGGGTGTACATCTAGCTCACCCTCAGACTCTCGAGTGTCCTCTGTGCGTACCTGCAGTCGATTTTCCGGGGCGCGGCTGTTGTCCGTGTGGCAGCCATCGCGAGCAGGACAAGCAGCAGAACCAGCCGGCGCAGTGCTCTCGAAACGCTCGAACAGCTCCTGAAACAGAGGTACACACGGCTCAAGACACGCTCGGCTGGCAGAGGAGGACCGCCCGCGGGCCGTGGACGCTCACCGGTTGCCGTCAAAGTGGACGCGCACAGTCATACTCGAGTTGAACGCACGCCGACGGGAGTACGGCTGGCCGGTGCAGTAAACGTACCGAAGCGAATGAAGGACTTCAGGAATAGTCACAGGCCGGGGAGGTCCACAGTGGATACGGTTGATATGAATGAGAGGGCGTCCTTCCGTTTATACTTCAGGAAAGTGGGGAACGAGAGAATGATATTATGCCAATTACTTATAGATGGATGCTGACGTAACGAAAATGGACTGTCTGATTTGGCTTCTTTCTTCATTTTATCAGGCAATCTGATTCAAGCTCTTTTTTCGCTTTCGCTTATATGCGTCATGATTTCTTTAAATTGAAATCATTTGTGCTTCACAAGAAGGCCATTAAAGATGACGGATATTTATCAGATTTATTGTGGTTTTTGTGATAGTCGATCTTTTTAATGAAACTCCCAGGGGTAGAATGATAAAAGTACAGCAATGCTCTGCTCTTCATCATTTAATTATTAGAAGCGTAGAACATCCTCTCATTAGAATATTGGAACCTTACCCATATCTCTCATAAGTGGGATGCTGAGAGCTTTGTGATAGCAAAATGTTTCAACCTTTGATCACTTTTTAGATGGGTAGGAAATCGAATGTTACAGGTCTTCACCGTATGTTGACATGATTTCGGGCATTGCCATTCTGAATTACCAGATAATTATTTTCAGATACCGCACTTTTCTTTGAGAGCACGAAGACGTATAATCAAGATGAACACTAAAACTAGATGATAACACTAATGCGTGCTAATTGCTAATTTGACTTTGTGCAGCATGCATTCGAAAAACGGTGTTGTTAGATGACATTTTGAATGCGAAGACATTCAAACTTTCCAGTTTTATTATTTAGAAATCACTTATTTACTCTCTTAAATTTTGTCCGAAAGGTCGAAAAATGTAATATTTCTGGCCACGCGTATAAAAGATGTTGCACGGTCAGCTTGTTTTGGACTTGGACCGTGTGTTTGATCGCACGCTCACAATAATCTCTCATTGACCTACCGCATGTTGCGTCCAACAGAGAGCGTCATCGTAAGCTCCGTCCTGCCAGTGTCACCTGATCTGACCTGACCCGACCCCTGACCGCGCGCTGCGTGTGCCGCACTGACCGCCCTGGGGCTGGAAAGGACTAATTTATTTGGTGTGAACCCCCCCCCCCCCCACCCCTAGTTACCGGGACACATGTCGGGGAGGGGGACAGGTCATTACGTGCCCCCCCCCCTTCCTTCGGCGCGGTCCGTCTACCACCAGGGACTGCATGCATTGTCTCGGGCTCCGGCCTAGTCGGCGCCTTTGACGCCCGACAATGTCCGAGGTTATTGCTGGTGTGATTACAATGTAACCATTGCTGGGCGATAATTTGGGATACATTACCAGTTTCCAGAAATGTACCGAAGCGCGTCATGGGTCTGTTTTAGAGACGGGTGTTGTGCGCCCGGTTACCACCAATCACTGGGGTTACTTACGCACATAGATGCAGGCCGGCGTCGGCACCATATCCTGCTGTTGCAGCCCGTTCTAGGTGCAATTAATCTCTCCATTGGGATGCAGTGTGATTGGTATGACGACCAGACTGGCACAAGAGTGGATGAATCAGGTCTAAAATTGCACCAATGTCCCTTCCCATGTACGGAATTTCACTCACATTGTTGCGATATTACAGGTGCGTCCCACTGGAACAATCCAACAGAGTTCTGTCTCTCTCTCGTTCCGCTCTGACCACTGGTCTCTCACTGTCTGTCGACCACTGACTGTTGTGGACACTGTCCGGGCCGTGTTCTTATACGGCTGACCGGTGGGGCCGTCCTGGCGCCGCCCCCCGCCCGAAGGAGGAGGAGCCGTCGCGTCTCCTCCCGTTCGCCAGGGCTCGGGCCGGGGCACGTCCACTCCCAGGTGCCGGTGTTAGTCATCGGGCACTGGGCGGCGCTAGAGCCGGTAGATGAGTTAGAATATTATTTTTCTAGAGGAAGGGGCGCGCCTCAGTCATTAGTGAGAACCTTGGCCGAGATGTGACCCGCCTGAGAAGTGCTCACACCTTCCACCGGCACCGACAGCTTTTATGTAGTTGTTGAATCGCGCTCCATGGTAAACTGAACATTGAACCCGACGGGTTCGAGCGGTCCTCGAATGATAAATCTTCAGTTTTGGACACCAGCAGCTCTTCTCCGATAACTTTCAACCAAATGTCCACTGCGGAGTGCGGACAGTCTTTCAGCTGTTGGTGCATCATCACTTTTTGCAGTCTCGGCATCATTGTTCATGTCCAACCCTTCTCTACGGCAGGACTCGCTGATGTCCTGAGTAGAGTATTTCTATTTACGTCAGTTTCTTATGCGAGTTCCTTTTTTACAATTTCTGTATTGCAGCCATACATTCCTCACTCAAAAAAGTAGAATAATTTTAGTTGCGTCTTACTATTCGGTGCTTCGTTTTCGCACTTATATATTACTTGCTTAGACGCAGAAAGTTGAAGTCGTCAGCCATCTTCGTCTCAGCCTAACACGAGTAACGGGATTTTCCCAAAGGTCTTCGATCATACGTCACCGCATCTGAGCTAAAGGTCAACCTTCTCTCGATTAACGCCATTAGATAAGTGATATTCCGACCCGCAGCTGTGATCGTGTTAGGGAACGGCGACAGATGTGAGACAAGTAGTCACAAAAGACGTTTTCGATGTAAGACGTGCTGCCAGAGTAGTTGCTCGTTTCAGGTGCAGTCAGCTGTGGTCACCGCAGAAAACTTCAATTGTGGGTTCTCTGATGACCGGACTCTTTCCTCAGTATTGCAATAATGCAGTTGGCGGTTTCCGCGAGTTTTGCTTAGAATACGGGACTTTAGAGACTGAATGTTTGATCAGCGTGTCAAACTTGGTCTGTGAAAACATTTTGAAGCAAATCAGTATACCCCGAATGCAGTTAAATATTGCAAAAAGATAACATATGACTCTTTCCTATTTCAAATGTACGTTTTAGTAAGCCACTTTTTCTGGAGAACGGAACATTTTGGTTCGTGCCTGTTTCGTTATTTTATAATGCTTAACAACGTTTTGCCCTGTGGTCTCCTCTCCTCGATTCGTTGAAAGCCGCTAAATGGTCTGGGGGCAGCTAATACAGTCTGCTGTCTGCCCTGGGTCGGTGTCAGCTATTTGCGGGTGTGGGTGGTAATCCCCCAAACAGGAGGGGCCAGCGGACAAATCGCATCGGTCGGTAGGTAGACTAATAGCATTGGCACGGCGGGGAGGCAAGGTTGGTGTTAATTACGGAGCGAGCGAAGCGAGCGTAGTCTTTCCTTAGATTAACGGAAATTTCTGAGTATGAGCGGCCGGCCGGCCGGCCGGCCGGCCGTGCGGACGCTTTTGCGAGGCTTATATCTCAGCAACCACTTGACCGATTTACATGCGGTAATTTTTATAGGGTAGCTTCATTCCTTCTCAGGGGCGGATCCAGCCGATCCGTTTGGGGAGGGCAAAAGTTTAGCGGACCATCGGCGACCCCGACCCACCACCGCGCCAGTGACCAAGTTACTTCACAACGCCAGTTACACCATATTACCGTAAGATGGTGTAAAATGTCTTATGTTAACCCGTGCCGAGCCGCGCTGGGGCTCCTAGATTTTCACGCCCCTGGGGGATGTTTGAACGCCCATATCCCTTCTAACTCGGCTCCTGGGCCACGTAGCAACACGCGGTAGGCGGCGTTTGAAAGAGTATCAAACATAATGACCAAATTACCCCAGTCACTTTTAAGGTCAGGTCAGATGTCAGATCACCATAGCCCATCAAAGGCCAAATCCCGATAATATTTAGGTCCAGTTTCGACAATTTTTGAAGAACTGGCGCATAACTCGGAAACGAATGGAGCTAGAGCGCCCCAGAAAAGCTAATTTGATAGCACTGTAACTGCTCTTTCTCGGTAATTCGCTCAGATTGGACCTAAGATCAACGGTTTAGCCTCCAGGAGAAACTGCCATAATATATACTACTTTTACGGGAACGGATTTTCTGCGATAACTTTTGAATCAAACCTTGTGCGATCTTACTTTTACCGGCATCGTGTTCCTCTCGCGAAGACGCGTCGAATGAGTTATAATTTGATCTTAAAAAGTGAACTTACAACTTTGACATTTGGTCAAGTCATGACCTGACCGGAAAAGGTCGTGTTGCATATCAGTCGATCCGTATCGTAAAGCTGAACACATCTAAGGTGTTTCTATTGCTCTAGAATGCCTCCAGCAGAAGTTATTAGCGAATTGCTGCAAACTATTGCATATCTTTCGTGACCTGAGATGATCTCAGGGACATAAGGAGGGGTCACGGGTGCTATTTTCCGGTTCACTGTGTGCTGTTTAGGTTGTAACTCGGTATTGTTAAGAGTGACGTTTCTTATAAATTTAGCACGAATGTTTGAAAGGGCGGATTGACGGGAGCTGTCCCTACGCTAAGCAGAGCTTGTTGCGTAGAGCCCGACCCCTACCGTCCGATCGCGTAATTCCGGGTGACAGGAGAATTTTGTTTAACGTTTAACGATGCCAATGTTTTACGTGCCCTTCGAAGCCAGACACGGCCTGTCCCACTCCTGACTTTGAATGGCTGCGGCTGCTCCCACCAACCGCAGACCATCCCCGTCAGGAGTCTCAAATATCGAGCGCCGGAGCGACTCAAACCCGGGCTCTCACTACCGGGAGTCCACTGCTTTACCAACTGAGCTACCGGACAAGAGGTTTGCCCAAAAAAGGTGCCTTTCAATTTTCTCTTATTGACTTATAGTGGAGAGGTCGCAAAAATGACCTAGCCCTAGGTCATCGATATAAAAACCATGTGACTAACATTTTGTACATAGGTACTGTTACCCTTATTAACTGCTGAAAGTTTCAAAGCGATCCGTCACTCGGTTTAGCTATGGCAAGCATTGGAACTGTTTTTAGGTTATGTCACTTGACGTACAGCTTAGTGACTTCGTGACCTAGAGAGACCTTGGTCTGACATTTTCAGAACATATGCAAAAAATAGGTATAAAATGGCGGCTAGGCACGTCGCCGTTTTGTTACGCGGAACGCTCCACAGCAATGAGGCTCCCAACAAATGACAAAACTGTGAATTGCTTAGGTAATTCCGAATATAGGGTGGTGGGCGTCTTACACGACTGGGCATCTTGCCCCGTGTTACCCCACACCATGGCCATTGGCCACACTGCATATGCTTATATGCATACATTCAGTTCAGGGGGTTCAATCTAATATCAGCATATCGACCCAAAATATCAGCAGACAGTGGTCAGCTCCTTCCTTCGGAATGGCCGTCACGGAAAGAAGCCCTGCTTTTCGTCCATATAGGCATCGACGCCGTATTAGATTTGCTCATCGCTACGTGCTTTGGGAGGGGCAAAAAGATAGTCTTGCCCACACGATTTGGCTTTGGGGAGGGCAAATGCCCATTTTGCCCTCCCCTGGATCCGCCACTGTTCCTTCTACCAAGTATTGGACTATTCCCGATGCATGTGGGTGACCCATTATGCACGTGCCACGTGCAAAACGAAGAGGTGTCAGTTTTGTAATTGTTGCAATATCTCGGTAACTACTTGGCCGATTGCGCTGAAAGTTGGCATGTAGGTAGGCACCCACTAGGCAATGCATATCCATGTGCCAGAGTTAGGGTGCTGCTGCACGTGCGCACGTGCAGGGGTCGATTCCAGATCTCGAGAACGGCAGGACCGATTGCGCTCAAATTTGGTACACGGTTAGGGACCAGTTAGTAGGGTGCCGTGCACAAGTCAGTTGGGACCCATTTTGCATGTGCGCACGTGCAGGGTGCCGCTTCCAGATCTCGAGAACGGCTGGGCCGATTGTGCTCAAATTTGGCACATCGCTAGAGACCGGTTAGTAGGGTGCCGTGCATAAGTCAGTTGGAGGTACCCCCTCGAAATTTCGCACGTGCAAGGCCCACCCTCTCGCTCGCTCCGTTAGTCGCCACAAAAGGCGCTATACTGGTGTCAGATACTAAAGGCACAGTATAGTGCGAACATACGGCAACACTGGCTATTGCGTAGTGTGTAGCGTTTTTATATGTTTAAATTTCGTAGCCTGC